TTGCGCTGTGCCTGCTATTTCTAGCTCTTCCATGGCCAGATGTGTTGACCGTTTTTCCCCTATCGTTCGATTAGGATCAGTTCAAACTCACTATCATCCATGGGAACCGTGCCGGGATAGAATACTGGAGGTCTCCACCGGTTGGGATAGAGTGTATGCATATCTTCCAGTGGCAGTTTGCTTCTGAAATATTATTTCATAAAGCTCCTTGTGAGGAAGTCCCTTGTGGTAAAATTGTTGCACCTGTGTGGTTTTACTGGTAAGTTAAAAGATAATATATTAATATTTAGCAGTCCAAAAAAAATGTGCACATTTACGGTGTCGTTGAATAATATTAGTTAAAAAATAAAAAATATACCTGACAATTCTTGCCACACCTCAACGGGACACGTTGGACTTTGTGACTCGTGATCCCACCAAAACCCCGTGTGTTGCAGCAATTTTCGCCATGCTTGATACACTTTTCGCAGCCGAAAGAACTTAGAGGTAATTGTGTGACATTGAGTCTCTTGCCAGCCAGTGATGATATGTCGCCCAACATCTTGGTAATCAGCTGTTTTTATTGCAGTACCGTGCGAAGTTTTGGCCCGCTCAGATAACAAGACCAGAAATCGGTGGGTCATTTCAGCAGACCAGGCACAGAATCATCATCTAAGGACGGTACGGTCAGGGACAACCAACATTGGGACACCAACGAATCACCAATCACATTGCAAAATAAATATCACATGTTAATGTAATCAACTAAACACATATAAACTTATACCTCCTTCGATCCAACACTGCTTGAAGACGTCAATGCAGGGGAAGATAAAGATAATGTCGACCAACAGGGTGTATGACGAACTCCGAGTCTGGAAAAACGTCAAACTTTCGCCTCTGCTGGAAGTAGTAATTAATCCTACGACGTCGAAACAAATTATACTGACATCCGAATTAAAATATTAAAAACCTGCCAAACAAAACAAAAATTATCATCAAGCTTAGGAAAATCAAAGTCCGAAAATTCAGCTTTATTAACTGTAGAATAGAATAAAAAAAAAAAAAAGCTTTGCAAAATACTACTTTACCAAAGCTTTTAGGAACCTACTAGTTCGGTTTCGTTGGTACCCTATAGTGTTTACAACTCCTTTGTACAACCAACTTTCTCGATTGATTCTTCTCTTCGAATCAAAACTTGAATCAACAAATCTTCGAATCAATCATTGATTTTCAAAACCAAACCCCCAATCTCAAATCCAAACCCATTAACATTGAACCACATTCACCATTTAATGATTATTTAGTTTCCATCATCTGCCAACAACATTAGTCAAAAAAAAAAAAAAAAAAATTCAAAGATTTTGTAAAAAATATAAGCCATTATCAAGTAAACATTGCGACAGAAGGACTAAATTTAAAACCCCAATTTGAACCCTAATATTCAAATTTATTCACACCACAACCACCAAAACTACCACCGATCGCCACCAGCACTGTCATACCACATCATTAATCACTCTATTATCACAAACATCCACGACCATTAAGTTCAATACCACCAATTACAACAATTTCTACACACGAAGTCAAAGAAATAGAAATAAAAAACTGGAAAATACTTTCGCCGAAGAAAATTAATCAACGAACTTGTATAAAATAGCCGAATGAGAAAGCAACAATGGCATGGAATTGAGAGAGAAATCAGCTTCACAGCTTGCGATTTGCGAACGTGAGAAGAGAAGTGACAGATCTGGGTTCACGGTGGTTGGGGAGCTGAGGTGGGGTTCACGGTGGGGAGCTGAGGTGGGTTGACTGTGGCTGGGGAGCTGAGGTGGGTTACAGGCTGTGAATATGCAGTAGTTGAGGTGGAGTGTTGACGGCTGGGGAGCTGCAGTAGCTGAGGTGGGTTCACGGTTGTGAAGATGCAGTAGCTGAGGTGGGTTCACGGCTGGGGAGCTGCAGTAGCTGAGGTGGGTTCACGGTTGTTGCGATGCAGTAGGTGAGGTGGGTTCATGGCTGTGAAGATGCAGTGAAGAAAATGGTGAAGAATGCAGTGAAGAAAATGGTCCACGCCTCAGTCAGATGCAGTGCAGAAAATGGTGAAGCATTGACGAAAAGTGAAGAATGCAGTGAAGAAAATGGTTTAATTTTCTCAGTCAGATGCAACGCAAAAAATGGTGAAGCAGTCACGAAAAGTGAAGAAAATGGTTTATGCAGTGCAGAAAATGGTTCACGCAGTGCAGAAAAATGAATAAAAAAAAATTGAAACGGTCAAAACCTGAGAAAGCTGTGAAGATGTAGATAATTCAAACTTGTGTTAGGATCATGTTTTGGGGATAGAGTTTTGAAAAAAATGAACCAAACATTATTTTAATAATCCGGTCCAGAATAGGAATAAAAATAATGACCCAAACATGCTGAAAATTATCATCGAATTTCAATTATTATTTTAATATCATTCTTTTTCCATTCAAGTTCAGAAGTTTGACCCCTCTCTCTATTTTTTTTTTTTTTTTTCGTATTCAATTCAATTTTAATTTTGTTAATTTATTTGCCTTTAATCTATTTATTGTCTTGTCATTAACAACTTAAGTCAAAGTTTAAGTTAGTTTTTTCTTTTTCTAAAATCACATTTAAGCCTCTATTAATTTTTAGAGTTTAATTTTATTATTATATCATGCTGATGTCAGCATGATGACATCACTGATTCAACCTGTCGGTTGGATCGGTCAACATGGGATCCAAGCCTTTGATCTGGTCAAGATCCAGGTTGGATCTTAAAACATTGGTTGAGACCTCAGCTAAAATTGAGTATCCAAGATATATTTATAGTAGACTAATACACAACCTGTATAAGAGCCAATTGCTTCTTAATCATAAAATACTTCAAAGATGAAAAAGTTCCATGCAATAGTAAGGAATTCTTGACATGTATCGGATTGGAATAACCTTTATTTTTATTTTTTTAGGTATATGAGGTATTCCACATTGGAGCCCGTCTAATTCTCAAGGTCATATAACTCCCTACATCAGGGGTGGATATAGTTCTAGTTCTTGGCTCACCCTCAAATTTAAAAAATATTAATATATACAATTTCTAGATTTTAGCCCGGACAAAAATATTAATGTGTAATTAGTATTTATTTTGGCTCACCCTAATATAAATTTTTGGATTAGCCCCGAAGCATCCATACTCGTTTTTGTTTCTCAAAAATTTCATAAAATAGGTTTGTTAAAGACCCCCAAAATTGCTAAGGATCTAATAAGCTCAAAGTTGAGATGGATATCTCATATTCGAAAACTATGAGGTCGTCATCTTAATCCTCGCACTAATTTTCTTGATCATAGAAAGTGAAGTTTAGGTTATCTAGTTAGTTTTATATGTGACTTTCTAAGCTGAAGATATTCAATTCTTGGATTTGCTTATTTAACATTACCAATTTTAGCTTAAATTTAATTATTATTGGCATTAGAGTATTTTCAAATGACTTTTTATATGACTTAAACTCTTTATTATAAAGAGTCTATCCATAAAAACAAGAGTCAAACTCTTTATCCTTTAAATCTAAATTAAAGAGTGAGTTCGACTCTCCACATCTAGAGAGTTAAATTTTACTTTCTATCATAATTTTAATTAATAAACTACAAATTTTTATGTATTTTATTTATTAATTCTCTCTCTCATTAAGTATATTTCCTGAAAATAAAGAGCATTTTCATTAAATTTAAATAGTCCATTGGATTTGAATAAAAAATTTATTCTTTATATTTAGAAATTAATGAAGATGCTCTTTATTTTAAAGATGCTCTTTAAAATAAAGAATACCATTAGAGATGCTCTTATTACGTGATAAATGAGATAATTATCACAAATCATATATTACTTGTAGATAGTGATAGAGAAACATATTTAGGTTTTTCATTGGACAAAAATAATCATAAAATCATTTGAGTGACTATATTACCTTTAATAAAAAAGGTTAAGAACAAAGTAACAAAGAAATATTTTTCTCTTCTATAAATGTTAGACTAAAACATGGTCCAACATATTTTCAATTAGTTTATTCAACATCAAACTATATGGTTTAATGTGGTTCAGCATTTTATAAATTTAAGATATTGAATATGATAGAGATCAAATACTTGATATTTTTCACTAAGAGAAATAAAATCAATTAATATGATTTTATGGTTATTTTTGTATGTATTTGCCTTTTAAAATAATGAGATGGCTATATGTAGCAATACCCTATATATATAAATTGAATTATTTATTTTATAAATTTAGCATCACATTTTTAGCACGTGTAATTAAATGTCCACCCCAAAAGTTTGACGTAATTGAAGGGAGCACATTTAGTCAACCTCCTAGGTTCGAGTGTCCGCCATAACGAGCCTTTGGGGAGGGGGTAGGGGGTAAAAAATAACTTTCTAATTATAATTGTAAAAAAAAAAAAATTAAACATCCTTAGCACGTTTAGTGTTTTTTTTTTTTTTTTTTTTTTTTTTTTTAACCATCTTGCATTTGTATTAACGTTTCTATATTTGACTCAACTCATTTACTTTTCGACTATTTTATATTATATTATTTTGAATTTGACCCCTCTAAAGTTAAATCCTTGGTCCGACTTGTATCATATAACAAGTTTTGAACCAGACTCTTTAGCAGACAAAAAGGATAAATGTGCAAATAAAATTATAAAGGGCCAATTTTAAAGAGAAAATATAGGAAGAAATAAGAATTAAAGATGATTAAGAAGACCCGTTTATTTCAATCCCATAATCAAATATGATTATAAGATGTGACTATCAAATAACATGCATTTAAGAAAATTCTTCTTGGCAAGAGTTGACAAAAATATAATTTGCATTCTTCTAATACGTTAGATGCAATCTCTGTTATTCAAATTTATGTATTTTCTGGGACTCTCATGTGCATAAAGTCTTCAATCATTCCAACGTCGCCGACACATAAAAGTCTTAATACCTACATTATGAGATAATAATTCGCTTGACAATTAATTTCACAAACCCTTGTTCAATATTATCTCCAATGATTTGACACACAAACTTATATACAGACCATGATTACAACATTACTCTACTGAAGCAATTCTTTCTGAACACAAGAGTATAAGTATATAGAAGACTACCAAACAAAGAAATGCAAAGAGCAATCACAGGGAATGACTGAGCATACTTGATTGCCTGGAACATATGCATCCTTCTCTTTCCAGCAAGAGGTAAATCAATCGCAAACATCCCAACTTTTTTCCCAAGAGATAAGGCTGTTGACATGAGGAAAGTAGGAATCGGATGGCAGGAAGCACTCCTTTTCAGTCTCAACCTTCGTCATCACTTCGAGTGTGAAGTCATAAGTGTAAAACGAGCCATCTTCATCTCTGGTGAAAATCATATCCTCACTCATTCTCAAACTAAAAAGCGGAACCATATCAATTATACCTCCTTTTGTGATACTATGGTGTTTTGTCCAGACATCTCCGGATAAACTCTTCAAGACCCAAATATCTATGTTCAATCCTTCATGTGTAACAAAACAGAGGAAACCATCCTTCTCAATGATCCTATCATAAGTTCTACATGCTGTTGGGAGGAGTATTGTCTGGAACCTTTCATGGTCTACTTCCATAGACACTATGTATTCACTAGCATCAATTTCAGGAATCCAATGCAAAGCCCCTATAGCTGAAACAGGTTTGTATCCAAACCAACCAAAGAGTCCGAAAGAAGGTCCATTCACACCTCTCCAAAACCGTGTCCCAAGATTTAAAATCTCACAGCTGATATATCCCAAACTATCTCGAAACAAGTGCACCACTTTGTATTCACCAGTAGCTTCACTAAGCGCAAATCCATAGGATTCATCATGGGGAGGATATAAGGTACCTACAGGAAGTGCAACCATCTTTCTTGTCACAGGATTCATCACCACGAGTCCTCCTTTCTTCAGCCGGTTATCAAGCAAAACTAGACCATTGCATGTAGCTCTAATGTTACCCAAACAACTTACTTTATACTCCTCTGACTTGCTCTTTCCTTCTTTAAAGTACATGAACTGGATACAAAATTTTGACGTGCTATTGGTAATGGGATGATCAAAAATAGAGAAAGAGTTTTGCTGAAGTAAACTTGTTTCAACTGAAAAAGTATTTGGTTGCTCTGGTCGAGCTGATGCCGTAGGCAAACTTTCAACTGATTTTAGAAAGATCAAAACAGATTCAGAGCCATGAAAATGTGCATTGATGAAATTGGCACTGTTTATGATACCATACCACGGTTTACAAACAAACCTTGTACTTGAAAGTGACTGAAGAGGAAGTCGAATAAGGATATTTGAGATGCAGTCTTTATGAAAATAAGGGACTCCAATTTCTTGTTTCTTTTGTTCTTCCTCAACTTTCTTCGACAATGCTCTCTCCTCTACCAATCTTAATAAGTTTGTATTATTGTTCCCCGTTGATCTAGCCATTATGCCTTTGTAATCCCAGCTTAAACACCTTTCCAAAATCAATGAAGTTAAATGAAGAAATTCTGCATGAAATTATTATTATCAGAATGAGAACTTAAAGCAAAAGACCAAGTCATGGAGTAGAGAGATACAGAAGAGATAGAAAATAGAGAAATAGAAAAAAAAAACAGAAAGAATAGGGAGAAATTTAGAAGAAGGTTTAAGCAGAAAACTCAGTGGAAATAGTACTTATCACTTATTCATCACCGTCTACTTTTTCACAAACCTATTTAGGCTTAGAATCCAAATCTTAAGTATAATTCTAATCCTAATGGACCAATGAAAATAAAGTAAAAAGATAAAGACTAATTAAAGCTTAAATAACCCTAGCATCCATCCTTGTATATCCTATATCACCATCCAGTCAAGTATTTCAAAGTTAATTGTTAAGATCAAAACCATTTATACATCATGAATAGGTCATGCATGCAGCAGTCTTATTGCAAAATAAAAATAACAATATTCTCTAAATGCTACAATTGCAAAGTTATCACATTCAGTTCTGTTAAGTAATACATACAAAAAAAGAACCTTAGATGATGTCTAAATTAATCACCAGAAATTCGTAGTAGAAGCCAACAGATTACTATTCATGTAAATTTTGACCGCAATTAGCTTATTCAAGAAAAAGTAATACCACACATACAGTTTTATCATACAAACTCTTTTGCAAAAACTAATATTTCATTATTCTTCATTATCAAACATTCATTGTCATTAACTGAGCGAGTTTAGTTAAGTTATCCAGACTGGTTAATACTAAATCATTTTAACAATTAAATCCTCAAAATTCCCAATTACATAGTTTTATGAGAAACAGGTGAACATGACATGTAAAGACTCAGGAAAATGTGTTACAGAACAAGAGATATAAGATTATTGTTTCAGAGTGATCAGGTGACATTATATTATAAACAATTATGAACACCCATATTCCATAAACAAATCCACATATGTATGATCAGCTGAGAGACTTGAAAACTCAGTCAACCCAGTCAACCAGTAACTAAGTTGACTCCACTCAGCTTTTAAAGATTGAAATACACAATCTTTCAGCTTTTATTCGATGCCAAACCATAACAGAAATCTCAATTAATGAAGAGTTGAAGAATCACCTGAAGAGCTGAGTTGTGGAAGCTGTTTGTTTGTGTTGGTCTGAGAATGTTAACTGTGCTCCGTGACTTCCAAGGCGATGAACGTGAGCATTAAGACCAAGGGACAAAACCCAGGTTGATTTTTGGCTTTACTTGCCTTGACTTGGCTGAAGAAGATTCTCTGTATCCGAATTTATTTGTATTCATAACATCAATCACCTTTACTTTGCCTTTCTGCCTAGCGTTCCCCTTTTCTGCTCATTTATCAATCAAAGCGGGGGCACTTTTAATATTCCAAAGGCTTATTAAATCCTTTTCGCCTAAGGTTTCATGAGAGATCAGCAAGGCCCATACAAATTAGAAACTATCAGCAACATCCCTACAATTTTGCAGAATCATCTAAACCATCAGGTAACAGTAGAACTTAATTAAAGAGGGGTAAAAAAATCATTTTCAAGTTGATTAAAAAATGGTAAAATTTTAACCATACACATGTAGAAGCACATCAATTGTTATTACCATGATCGACATTATCTAGCATACATAATATCGATATTTTTTTTATCATACACACAGCTTAAAGTGGTTAAAAACATTAAATTTTACCATAGAATGGCAAATTGAAGATTCATTGCGAGTATTTTCGTAGTCATAGCCCTTTGATATCATCCACAATACGAAGTAACAAAGTTCTTTCCCCAAACAAGCTTGTTATCATTTACATTAATTTGTTTTAATGAAATTTTGTCCAACTTCATTGCGTACATAAATTATTTTCAATGCTATATAAAGGAACATTATTAATTTAGACCCACTTTAAAAAAAATAAAAGAAAAAAGGAAAAATAAAATGGACCACTTAACAATACAACTCTATTAAACTTTATATTTATTGAGGTTAATTCCATAGTTTTGTCATGGTAACTAAAGTCAAATTTAAAAAAAATTAGAACATCAATAGCAATTGCACCTAGCCTAATGGTGTAGAGAAAACTCAACCTTCTCTTCTCACATTTGGATTTATTCTCAAATACCCACTAGGACAATGTTATCTAGCAATCAAATGTCAGTATGTAGGGATAATATCATACTTTTAACTCATTACGATAGTATATTTTTCAAAAATTTCCATTATATTATACTTTTGTTTAAGGGTATGGAATACATAGTGATTTAATTATATTTGCCATCCCAATTTTTACTTTTGGTTAGTTTGTGAATGGGCAAAAATAACTAACCTGCCAAGCTTTATTGGAAACCTGCCCTAGATGACAACTATTGTCATTTTTATCAAGCTTCCCCAAAAGTTATCAAAAGATCAATCACTCGTACCCAAATGCTAACTTCCTTAAACTTCTGTTAGGTTTTAAGATCGAATTTCCCCTTTTACCCTAAAATTGAAATTTAAAAGCTCAACAAATTTTTTAGTGATTAAAATTAAAAAGCACCCTTAATCTTTAATGAAATCACCCAATGCCCCAAACCAAAATACAAACCCAACCCTAACCCTAACCCTAACCCACATCCCCAACCCCACCTTCCTTTAACTCTTTTGTGTGACGGTAGCGACTGCTTTAAAAGGCGGCATCAACCTAGCACTTGAAGCTGTCTTGGCCTCACGCTTGAGGTTGTCGCCTTCTCGATTGAGGCTACCACCTCTTTGATGATTCACCGTTGCCTGGATTGAGGCCACCTTGGCCTAGCACTTAAGGCCACCTCTTGCGGCCCTATTGGTCTTTAAAGGTGGCGACATTGTTGTATTTGCGTATACTAATGCATTAGATGCAGGTATTGGGTTGTATTTGTGCGATGGGTGGGTGAGCTACTGGGGAAGGTGGGGGTATAAGTGAAAGAAACTGAAAGTTAAAGGTTTAGATAAACTGCTAGGAAAGGTGGAGTAAAAAGAAGAAAAGTTTTTAAGTTAAGTTTTATTTATGCAAAAGTGCTAAATGACAGTTTTACCCTTTAAAAGCTAACAGAAGTTTTACGAAGTTGGCATTTGGATTTTGGGGGTCTGAGATGTGTATTTTTGAATAGTTTTGGGGAGTTTGACGAAAATGACAATAGTTGCATTTAGGTTCAATTTTTGCCCGTTTGTGAATTTCTGAAAGGGTAATTTTATAATAAATCACTTCTCCCACCTACCCAATTAAACGGGCCGTAACTTGGCAAAATCTTTTCAGAGTTTTTCTGTTTTCGTTTAGATTAAATTTCCCTCTAGGGACTCAACTTCACCAGTAACTGTAGAAACTTGGTAAACTCTAATACTTCCTTCTTTAAATCAAAATTTGACTTTCTTATCTCTGTTTTGATTCTTTCTTTTTGGTATTTATTTCACATTTATTCAATTTTCAACTTCTTAATACAAGCATGCTTATGAGTAATACTCTGATTTTCTGGTAAATTTATGGTTCAATCTCTAGTAGTTAGATAATAAAACCCCCGCAATTATGATTTATGCATCAAAAATAATAATGAGTAAAAGAAATATCATGTCACTAAGAGAGCAGGTTGATGTGAGAAATAAAAAAATAAAAACAATTGAACAAATGGTTGTACGTATTGTGGAAGATTGTAGATTAATATGATGCTGGGTTTTGATGATTTCACAGCTTTAAGGTTTTATTTCATTGAGCGGATATGGGATTTGTTGCCTGTTGTATATGGTGATTATAGGGATTTTGAGACTATCTCAACACTTTATTTTCATAAAATTAGCTTTTAAAGGCAATACTGTCATGTCTCTGAAAATATTGAGGAAGAGCAGTATTTTTTGTTCCTTTGAGTTAAGAAAATGATTCGATTTTGGACTTGGAAATCGCTTTTTGTATCCCAAAAGGCCGTCATCTTACCGAAGAGGTCCTTAGCAATTTTCCATGTGTTGTAATTAGAAATTCACATACTTTACTAATGCTTAATTCCTTATTTCTTGGGTTGGTTGCATAATTTTTCTTCTCCATTCAGCTTGGAAGTAGATCTTAGATTCATTTTCATACATGCTTTTACTGTTGTATATATGTATTTAATGATACAAGGCTTTCTTTGGTTTAACATTTCATACTTTTTCCTACTGCAACCCATGTCTCATGTACTGAAATAAATATTTCTTTTAATGCTAAGGTTGATTGGTGCAGATTTATCATACAAAATGGAGGGAATGGATGGGAAGAATGATAAGAATATTACCCGTGTTCTCTTTTGTGGGCCATACTTTCCTCCTTCTCATAATTATACCAAAGAATACTTGAAAAATTATCCATTCATTCAGGTATGTTTTCACTTTTAATCGAGGATTCACTCCCTTTAAAAAATATACCTCCTGATAGTGTACTATACAAGTACTTTGCTAATTATATTCTTTCTAAATAAGAGGTTGGTTTTGGAATATGACTACATGTCTTGGAGTTTTCAAGTTTTGTTGCTATGGGAAAAGCTGTGTATCTGTATACGGGCTGAATGTTGGAAAATCTGCAGTAGTTAATTTCTTGGATTACATTGGATTTTATTTCTGAAGTTATTTTGCAGCAGTAGAACATGAGGTTATGTTATATATGTCTACTAAAGCAACACCTTTGGTTCATAATATTCTGGAGAAAACTAGGTTCGGTTACTGAGAGCCTATACTTTTTCCTAGTAGGTGTTCATGGTAAGTAAAACTAAGAAACTCCAAAGGACATCCTCCCTTACCACTAACGAGAAAAGCTATCCGATGTGACCAAGAGTGAGCAACCTGTACTTGTGACTATTAACAGGTCAAAAGAAATTGAATCAGGGGTAATATAGTTATTTTTTCTGATCTTTGAATATTGTTTTGTAATGTCTTGCAATACAGTATAAGAAAAAAAAATTACTGGATACCAGGAAAAATTGGATCAACCGAACCCTAATTAAAAAAAAAAAAAAAAAAAAAAAAAGAGAGAGAGATAGAGAGATTATCACTTCTGAATTTTCTTTTTGCTAATAAGCCACTTTTTTGGTATTACAAACAAATTTAAAGACTTTAAAAAATAAACTAACCCCACTTTTAGTATTAATGAAGCTTTACCTAGTAGCACTTTTATGGATTCCTTGAATATATTTTCTGTTAAAACTCAATTGAGCACTTCTTGCATATTTAAATCGATCTTCTATCTTTATTGCGTCAAGTTTCCTTCCCCATCAAATGGGGTTGGCTCTAATGAATTTGCCTACTCATACTTAGGCATCTTGGAACTTTTTTCTTTAGCATTCAAAGTGTGATCTAGCTACTCAGTGGTAGAATGAAAGTATTTATTTGTCCCATTAGTCATGGAGTGATTTCAGATCATAATGTTCCAAAATGGAGGTCACCAGCTGAAAGCTGAAGTATGCATAGTGAGGTGTCCTTCAATTGGTTGTTTCTTACCGATGATGAAAAATTAAGAGGTTTAAGAAGTGGTCTGTCTCAACTGTTCAACAATCTCACTAAAGTCACTCAAAAGATTAGGACTGGGCTAGTGATGTAACGCATTCCCTATACTTAAAACATGCTTCGACTCTTGTTATCTGTAAAGTTGTGGTGGTGCCGATTTTGTAGCACAGTATGCAACAAATAGATCTAGTTGTACTTGTACTGGACCCACACTTTTAACTTTTCTTCAATTTGCTAAAACTTTGTTTTTTTTTTTTTCTGTGAGAATAGCAGTCCTCTATGTTCCCTTGTATGTAGCAGCAAGAATGTGTCCATCCATATACATGTCAATTCTCATAGGGAACTTGATTGAATTTCTTACTGTCAATTTTGCTAAAATTGCACCATTTTTTTTTTTCTTTTGAATCTACTGATGCCAATTCAATAAGTTATCTTTGTTTGTCAACCTATCAAGAAATATATATGGTTCATCTAGTTCTAAAAAAATCCCAACATGAATCTTCAACCTTTTGCAGCTATGAGACTATATGTTGAAATAAACAGCGTTTCAAGGTGCCATATTAGATTCATGTTGATTCCCTAAATCAATGCTTTCCAAAATACCCTCCTGTTTTCCTTGAGGGTCATATGCATGGCTAGACATCTGGATTAGCAAGTTACTGTGAGTTTTTGCTCTGTTGAAGATATCAGTCTCTGCATTGTAACTTCTGTAGTTATATGGTAATTCCCGAATTCTAAGGTTATTTTTTATGTTCTTGAGTTTATGCTCATTTTCTTGAGTTTCTAGCAGACTTGCTTTTGCAAGTTGTAAATGATGAATCAAAGAGTCAAGTTATAAGGCACAGGGCAGAGATTTGTCATCATTGAAGTGGGAAAGGTATGGTCAAAAGTTTATCTTGTTATGTAAAGCTATATCAAATATGTGTTTAAAAACAGTGAACAAAAAATATAGAAGGCTGAATTATTTTTCTATATTGATGTATAGCTATTTAAAGAGCTTAACATGAACAAAAAAAGGCAGCTAATCTCCCTAATTAAGGAGAATGTACTAGTCAACTTACTACCCTAATATGAAGAAAATAAATATTGATTCCTAAGATTACTATACAGCTCAAACTTCTAAAAACAACTAAATTAGAGTTAACAAATATGGTACTAATCACAATTATTTACGAGATCTTTCAACACTCCCCCTCAAGCTGGCATGAAGATATCACTCATGGCAAGCTTGCTAATAATTCTCATGTTGCACCTTGGGAAGACCTTTTGTTAGTATATCTGTTGTTTGGCTAGCAGTGGGTATGTAGGACATACATATCACACCACTATCTTCTTCTCCTTGATGAATGTTTGTCAACTTCTACATGTTTGTTCTGTCATGTAGAATTGGATTATGAGCTATAGAGATTGCAGCCTTGTGTCACAGTAACTTTAATAGGTGCTGGTACAGCATCTTCAATTCTTCTAGAAGTCTTTTTATGTTATAACACTTCACAGAACCCATGTGCCACAGAGCGGATTCTGCTTTAGCACTATCCTTGCCACCACACTTTGTTTTTTACTTTTCCAGGTAACCAGATTTCCGCCTACAAAGGTGCAATAACCTGAGGTGGATCTTCTGTCATTTACTCTCCTGCCCAATCTGCATCTGTGTAGGCTTCTATCAGAAGATGTTCTCCTTTTTTGAAAAAAAGTCCTTTTCAGGAGTTCTTTTGAGTATCTCAAAATTCTGAACACCTTCAAAGTGAGTAGTCCAGGTGAATGCATGAATTGACTCACAACACTCACTGCAAAAGCTATGTTAGGTCGAGTGTGGCCAAATAGATAGTCGACCTACCATCTTTGATACGTTCTTTGTCCATTACCTCATTAGCTGCTGCTGTTTTCAACTTTACATTAGTTCGATTGGCGTATCTGTTGCCTTACAACCTGTCATTCCTGTTTCTTCGAGTAATCAAGCACATACTGCGTTGGTTGACAAAAATTCCCTCCTTGGATCTTGCAAACCCATCCCGAGGAAATATTTCAGCTTTCCCAAGTCCTTAATATCAAATTCGACTTCAAGTTTCCTCTTCAAGTTGCTATCTCAAGAGAATCATCCCCTGTCATGATTATGTCATCTACATACACAATCAAAATAGTTACTTTACCTTTGATGGAATGTTTGAAAAACAGGGTGTGATCAGCTTGGCTTTGAGAGAAACCATGTCTCTTGATAACATCACCAAAACGCTCAAACCAAGCTCTAGGGGACTGCTTTAGTCCATATAGAGATTTTTTAATTTGCACACTTTGCCTTTTCCAAGTTTTCCTTCAAATCCGGTGGCAAGTCCATATATACTTCTCTTGCAATTGTCCATTTAAAAACACATTCTTTACGTCAAATTGATGAAGTAGCCAATTGAAGTTAACTGCAAGAGAAAGAAGTACTCTATAGATTAATTTTAGCAACAGGAGCAAAAGTCCTTAGTAATCAATACCATGAGTTTGAGTAAATCCTTTTGCTACTAGTCTCGCTTTGTATCTCTCCACACTTCCATCAGCTTTAAACTTCACCGTGAACACCCTTTGTACCAACCGTCTTTTTGTCTTTGGGTAGATCAATGACGTCCAATTGTTTTTCTTTTAAGAGCATTTATTTCTTCCATCACGCTATCTCCAGCTCGGGTCATCTAATGCTTCTGAACAGTTCTTGGAACAAACATATTAGAAATCCTAGACACAATGCTCTATGATTTTTTGACAGTTTTTCATATGACAATATTGTGCGATAGGATGTTTAGTGCATTTCGGATTCCTTTCTTAAAGCAATTGGAAGATCAAGGTCAGAAGGAGTGAAGTAGAGGGAAGGTTACTCTGAGTTGTAGGGCCATTATTCGGCAAAGCTGATTGAACATCTGCTGAAGAATACTAGGCTGTAGTAACTTTATGGAATTTCTTCCTAGTATACTTGCAGCTCATGTGTAGGATTATGATCCACTGGATTATGATCCGTTGGAAGTACTTCTCCCCTGTCTCTGATAAAGTAACATCTGGCAAAGTAGGATTAATAGTGCTAACACTAGTTCATATCAGAATTAGTTAAAGAAATGGTAAAGGTTCCCAGAAATTATTTTCTCCAACTAAGTTCTCCCCCTGAAGAAATTTTTTTTTGAAAAAAAGAGTGATCCTCGACAAACTTGACATCCATGCTCTCAAAAAATTTCTTTGTGACTGGATTAAAACACTTGTACCCACGTTTCTTAGAAGCATACCCAAAAAACAACATTTTTCACTTTGGGATCAAGTTTTGAGCGAAACCATTTGGACATGCACATAGCAAACACATCCAAAACCTTTAAAGGGAGATCTGCTGTTATCTTAGATGTGAAAAACAATTTTTCAAAACTTGTAAAGGTTTTTGAAATTCGAACTCGAGATGGCATTCTGTTTATTAATAACAAGAGGTTAGGAGTGCATTACCCCAAAGATTTAGGAACATTCATGGAAAACATAAGTGCCTGAGCAACTTCAAGTAAATGCCTATTTTTTCTTTAGCAATACCATTTTGTTGTGGTGTGTCACGACAAGTGGATTGATGCAGAATATCTTTTTCCAAAATAAATGTTCTCAAATATTTGTTGAAATATTCATTCCCATTATCCGTTCTTAGAATGCCATTTTTTGTTTGAAATTGATTTCAACCTGTGGAAAAAATCTTTAAATCGTTGTTCAACTTCAGATTTCTTTCCAACAATAAACCCAGCAAACTCGTGTGTGATCATTAATAAAGTTACAAACCATTTTTTTTCCAAAAGTGTGTTAACTTTGGATGGCGCCCCGAACATCACTATGCAACAAATAAATGGTTTTGAAGCAAATATGGTTTTATTGGAAACGAAACACGATGACTTTAGCTAAATGACAAGCTTCACAATGAAGTTTTGAACAATCAATTCTTTTAAATAATTCAGAAATAAAGATTTGAGATATGGAAAGCTAGGATGTCCTAATCTTTTTGCCATAACATAACTTGATCATAGACAAAGCTGGAACTGTACTACCTAATCCATGAGCTGTTTTATTCCCAGAACCATTTCCATCATAGTAGTACAACCCATTTATTTCTCTAGCAGTTCCAATCGTCTTCCCCGAGTTCCGGTCCAAAAAACACAATTGAGGAGAAAAAGAATGGATAGTCAGAGTCTTTAGACATTTGCTAACGGAAAGAAGATTACATGCAGTTTTGGAACATGTAAAACTGATTTCAAAGATATTTTTTCTGATTTTAATGTTTCTTTGCCTGCAATAGGTGAAAAACTGCCATCAGCTATTCTGATTTTTTCGGAACCGAACTGGATAATATGAATCAACAATGGAGAACGCTTGTCATGATCAGAGGCTCTTGAATCTATGATCCAAGGAGTAGTACTCCTAGAACAAATAAAGCCAAGAATTCTACCTTTTTGTGCCATAGAACCGATAGGAGCATTAGATGATGAGCAAGATTTCAGCAGTTTAAGAAGATGACTTATTGCTCTTTACTAAATGGAGATGACTCAGCCTCATTTGCTGTAGTGTGCTATTCACACAGATTTTTTCTCTTACCATTAGGTGTCTTACCATGCAACTTCCCATTTTTCGCGAGTATGGCGTGGCTTCCACAGTAGTCCACTTGCAAGTTGTTTTTGTCTTCTGCACGCTGGTTTTGAGAAGTTCTACTGCTTACTTGGGCTTCAGGAATAGCCAGCGCTGATCCTTCCATGGACGTGGTTGAACCTGCAGTCTTCTTTCCCAATCACTGTCTCCGACTCTCTTCTCTCCTTACCTCCGCAAAAACTTCACCAATTGAGGCAGAGAATTTCTTCCAATTATTCGGCCACGGACCTCATCATATTCAACATTTAGACCTGCAAGAAATTTGAAGATTCTGCCAGTATCCACTATCTTCTTGTACTGGTTGCAGTCATCCTTTGATTTCCACTCATAATCATTGAATAAGTCCAGGTCCTGCCAAATCCGTTTAAAGAATTGAAATACTTTGTCACAGAATCCTCACCTTGGCAATTTCCCCAAGTCGTAGGGTCAACTCGTAAACTTGGGATTGATTTCCAAGATCAGAGTACATTTCTGAAAATGTCCCATAATTCCTTGGCTGTAGAGTACACAGGTGTTTGCACTTATCTCTTCAATCATGGAATTGACCAACCATGTCATTACCATTGAGTTTTCAGCATCCCAAATGGCATAAGTTTTGTCATTCACGCCAGGTTGCTTAGTATCACCTGTGATATAGCCAATCTTTCCTCTTCCTTGGAGATACATGCGAACAGATTGTGACCATCGAAGAAAATTATCAGCCTTTAGTCGGATTGTAGTAATCTGAATGGGATGGTTTTCAGATGTATTTTTCTGAGGTTCGGACTGAGATGGCTGAAGAGGCTGGCTTGTGCCAGACGTGACTCAGACATTTTAGAGATAAAAAAAAAAGATTCAACTTAGGATTTTTTTTTTTTTTTTTTTCTGCTCTGATACCATAAAAACAGTGAACAAAAAATATAAGAAGGCTGAATTATTTTTCTATATTAATGTATAGCTATTTAAAGAGCTTAACTAGGAACAAAAAAAGGCAGCTAATCTCCCTAATTAAGGAGAAATGTACTAGTCAACTTACTACCCTAATATAGAAGAAAATAAATATTGATTCCTAAGATTACTAATACAACTCATAAACTTCTAAACTAACTAAATATAGAGTATAACAAATATGGTACATAATCACAATTATTTACGAGATCTTTCAACAGTGTTATATTTGTTATTTATTTGAAATGTGAATATATATTTGATGTCATTTGAAATATAACTTGACTATTTAAGTTTGAAGATATGCTTGCTTCATTTAAATGATTAGTGTAGGATTTTGGGAATGAGAACTGTAGGAGATAAAGAGGGTAATGGAGAGATGAAATTTATGTGAGATATGTGGTGAGGAAGTGAAAGAGAAAGGGCATACCATAGATATAATGATTGTTGGATTCAGATGCATTGCTATGTAAAAAGCAAAGAATTTTGACATCTCTAATTCAAATAAAATATCTTATAAATTACATTGACCATTAATTGAGAGAAACAAATTACACAAAGCACCTTAAGAAATTACAGGAAGATGCACTTTGTCTTTTTCCAAGAAAAGGTGAACAGTCCTATATTCCTGGAAATGTAAGGTTGATTAATTAAAACCTGGTTACCAGAAATAATTGTTGAAAAGGTAGTTAGATATTGATATTACAAATAAGGTAGAGACTATTCAATGTAATGCAGTTGTAAACGGGTAATACATCTCTGACAGTATACCAAAATTCTCATCTCAAGTGATGAATCATTATTTATGGTATCACCATGTCACTTATCACATCAGCACATCATTTAAATGACAATGCCATGTAGGATTGAGAATTTTGGGATACTACTTAGGATGCATAGTATAACTTGTAAATAGTAAACTTTTTATTTTATCAAATTACAATAATATTCTTCTAATTAGGGATTTCCCTAATTTTTCTTTGAGAAATCTTAGCTTCCATGGTGTTTGGAAGAAGATTTCTTGCAGATCTACTATGGATAGAAAACATGTTACTTTAATTATGACAACTTCAATTGCTTGGCAGCTAAAGCTTCGACTAGAAAGTTATCTTATAGGAGGTTACTTTTGTTTCCTTTTCCCCTCTATTTCGGAGACTGAACTTTGAAGATAATCTTCTGAATCTTGGTGCTTTGTTTGGTGAGATGCCATAAGAATTTAATGTGTTGATGCATCCAACTTTTACGTGTGGATTCTAAGATTCTAGTGAAGTTATTTATATGTCTTTTCTTTTTTTACCCTCTTTTGGGGACTGAACTTTGAACATGATCTTCTGAGTCTTAATGATTTGTTTGGTGAGATGCCATAGGAATTTGATGTTTGATGCATCCAACTTTCAGATGTGGATTCTAAGATTCTAGTGAGTGATTCCTATGAACCCTGTTGCAAGGCAAAGCCTACATCTAATTCATAAATTTAGGCTTTGCCTATCCCTCTGCTGTTCATCAAGTGAATCTGAGCATTTATTGCATCAAGTTATTTAGTGAATTTGTTGCAAATAATTTTATTTAAGTGTTTGTTTGCATGATCTCTTAGTTTCTTGAACACATTCTAAAAGGAGTATGTTTCTTGTATTTTTATAGACAAATGAAGAATGTGCTTGGAATGTTTTATGCCAGTCTTACTGAATTTCAGAGCTGACAATATGCAAAAGGCTCTTGCATGATGATATATACCTTCGATATGTTCTGTGACTCTTTCCACCGGTGCTAACATTGCCTGATTGGAACGGGCACAATAATGCCAGATTTCTTTCATGTATTGCATTTTTCTGTTTAATACTTGCAGGTTGATGATGTCCCCCTTGATGATGTTCCTAATGTCATACAAAACTACCATCTATGTGTGGTAAAAAGCATGTGGCTTGATTCAAATGTTATATCTCGTGCAAAGAAGATGAAGCTAATAATGCAGTTTGGTGTTGGCCTTGAAGGTAATTTTCAATTGTATATTTTCATTTGCCTTGGAGCTTATGGCCTATGATATGTGCTTTTTAATACTGTTCGTCTTTCTTGCATTATTTCTACTGTCAAAATTGATTAGTTCCCCATATGTGTGCTTTTGTGAAGGTGTTGATATTGATGCTGCTACAGAATGTGGAATCAAAGTTGCTAGAATCCCCAGTGACATGACTGGAAATGCAGCATCATGTGCAGAGATGGCTATATATCTAATACTGGGCCTTCTCCGGAAGCAGGTTCGTTTACTCAATTTAGTAACTGCTTATTATTTATCCATTCTCTTAATACCTTATTTAGTAATGAAGAGTTGTTCACTCAGGGTCATGCATCTATAACTTCTGTTTGCTTTTCCTACATGTTACATAGCAAACTGCTTAAGGTTTTTTTTCTGCCAAATTTCTTAACTGATAAACTTTGTACTTCGCCAATTGCAAGCAAGGGAAACAATTATAAGGCAACCCTTTTTTATCTCAGATTCTTAGAAGGAAATTTGATAATTGCTTCCTTCCCTTTGTCAATTTTATACTACTTTTCTTCATTAGTTGCTAGGTTTTATCTTGTGCTAGAAAATTATAAGAGATGGGAGTTTATGTTGGTCAAAGTGTTCTCTGATTTTGCTTCTTTGACAATTTAAAAACTTGCATTGTAAATTCCATCACTGATTATGTTGGATTTTCATTGCATTTGATCTCCATATCTCTGCAATTGGTTCTCATCCAGTGAATTGCATGATTTTTATCCATTGTCAGCACTCATATTTTAATTAGTGAATGAATTTTCTTGCAAACACGCCTATGCAGTTGATAAATACGTATTAGCATATGGATATTGTTGCATTTTGCCCAGCTACAGAAAAATAAGAGCATTGGCTAGGGGTCTCTTGATTTAACTTAGGAGGAGTATAGAATTGGGGACAAAAGATGAATATGATCTGGAAAAAGCTGAGTACATTAATGGGGGGTGAAATTTCTGCGAAGAAATTGTTAAAGAGGCTGATGCAAACAAAGTTGATAAGCAAATTGTAGCCCTAGAAGTCTAGTTAAAGTAGATAGGCCATTGAGGGGCTGATTTAATTATTATTGTAAATGAAATTAGGGTCTTAATGTTTGCCATATGGTTTTCTGCCTATGTTAAAAGTTGAGGGTTATTTATGCCTCAAATTTACCAAAGTTACTGATAAGAAATCTTGCTTACAGCTCACTGCAGGCTTAATATAGCATTTTTATGTTGTGGGTGTAAAGCTTGGGAATTTTCCATAAATTGAGGTGTTTCTTACATGACTAACACATCAGTTAACGTACTTATGGTTATGTACTTTTGCCTTGAAATCTTATGATTGTCAAATCTGCATCTTACGTTGGTTTCTGCTTGAGACCACCGTACCATTGTGTACTGACGACCTGTGTAACTTCTCTTCTTGTTGTAGACTGAAATGCAAATTGCTATAAAGCAAAGAAGACTTGGAGAACCTATCGGTCAAACACTACTTGGTAAAACTGTGAGTGACAATTCTCCTTCACTCTCTCTCTCTCTCTCTCTCTCTCTCTCTCTCTCTTTTGGTGAAAGACTAGTTTGTAAAAGTGTGGGCCACAGTATGTTTTATTTGTTTTACTTTGTAAAGAGCACTTTATGTCCAAATTTTCCTTAAGTTACATTAATGCATTATTGATTTTATTATTATAATGAAACTGATAACAACTGCTGACTCAAAATCTTAATCTGATAGGTTATAGCTCAACAATAATCTTAAGTTCTAATAAGCCCGTTCATGTGTACTTGTATGTGGATTAAACATAGCCACAACTACAAATCCGATCATCGTCACAAACAAAACTTATTGATTAAGGAATAATATTTTATGTATTAGTTCTGGTTATTCAACTTAGAAGTTTATAGTTTTTATTATGGGTATTATCTAAATAAATTGTTGCAATTAATAATATCTTTATTTTATGGTAGTTAAAAATACTTTATATAGGTTCATGGCTTAATTTAATTTTTCAGTGACTCAATGTTTCTTAACTTCTTGGATACATAGAATGCTTACGAGTTATAGTGTTAAATTAAAAAAGAACTTACACAAGATTTATTGAGTTGCACTTAATTGTTAAAATTCTTACTAGGCATGAATTGATTTAATTTTCACTTTATTTTGGGAACAGAGTTATTTTAATTGAGTTATATTTTAGAATGCGGAGTTATTCTCTATCTTTGATTAACCTATTAAGGGAGTTGGAAAATTTATATGTTAGATATTTCCTTGTTCTTGCAGGTATTTATTATGGGATTTGGAAATATTGGGATTGATTTGGCAAAGCGCTTGCGACCGTTTGGTGTGAAAATTATTGCCACAAAAAGGAGTTGGGCCTCACATTCTCAAGTTTCTTGTCATCCCACTGGTATGTATAAAAGTGCCATCATATTTTAGTGAAACGCATTGTTGAAGTCTTTTTGTTTACTTTGTTTTATATCGTGAACACTTCCAGTGAAAAATGGAGTCACTGATGATCTGGTTGATGAGAAGGGATGTCATGAAGATATTTATGAGTTTGCCGGCAATGCTGACATTGTTGTTTGTTGCCTGAATTTGAATAAAGAGACAGTAAGACCGCTTGTTCACTTAATATACTTTTAGTTCTACTTCTCTGTTTGATTGACTTGGATTTGGTTCTACTTGTAAATTCAACTTGAATAATCTGACACTAACCTTTCTACTAAAAATGTGCATGACATGCTACGCAGTAACGAGAGAAATTTTTATTTCACTAGTCTTTGTCTCCACTCTCCACTATAACTATGTGCTCCTTCTATTATTTATTAAAGCCCAGCTTTTTGTTAGTTTATTTGAATATTTTAGATATACATGTCTGTCTACTTATTTGCTTTCTTTTTTGTAATTACTTTTCTTCCATTTTAACAAGAGAAGCATTTGTTTCTGACATGTCTTGTTGGAGTCCAGCTTTCATCTGCCTACATTTTGATTTTTTCAATCTAGACTATATGTAACTCAGGCATGTTCAAAATTTGCTGGACAAGTGATAAATTGAAGTCTTGTTGTAGTTAATGAGTTCAACATGAATTCTGCTTCTTTATACAAATGTCTAATTACAATATTCCTCGTCTGACCTATTTACAATTTTGTCTTTTGACCTTCAGGCTGGCATCATAAACAAGCCATTCTTATCTTCAATGAAAAAGGTAAGTTTTACAAGTGCTACTAATCTGTTCAAGAATCCTAATTCATTTTTCTTAATTTTTCTGTTCTCCAAAGTCCATAGCTGCAGGCATATCAAAGTGGCATAACATTTGCAATTGTCTTAGGAACGATAAGTAATCACCTAATGTTGATGGAGCTACTTTCGGAATATAGTGTTTTAGACACGGTACTTTGAGCTTTGGTTGAAGTCTTTTGATGCTTCCATGCTGGCTGGAATGCTGGCATTGAGAATTAGTTTTTACATATGTACCTGTGTTATATCCAGTTTTCCTGCAATAAGAGGAAATATTTAAAATTCTCTTTACAACTCAACTAGGCTTTAATTTTCAAGGCATTTCTGATTCATCTGGAGGAACATCTTCCGCCAAAGTTTTGGCAAAGGTGTCTTTGTTGTCTCTGTCCACATACTTTTCAGATGTTTCTTCTCTTTGAATCTATATTTAAATATTTTGAGTAAAACTGTTAAGCTTACACTTTCGGACCATTTGGGACAAAACGTGCCCCCACCTCTTGGCTTTAAATCATGAAAACTTCTTTTACCGACTTCCTTTGAGGCTTTGGCTTATGGTGGCATGCAAAGACTTTATTTTCTTCTCATTTGGGAGGCATTTTTATTTCTGTATTTTGAATGAGGTGTTGCTGCCCTTTGATTTAGATCTAATTGTAATCAGAGAGTAGGAAGTGCAAAACTACTCCAAACTATCTTTTGTTTAGATGCTTTCTTCATTCCTAGTATATTGGAATAGCAATTAGTTTGAAGTTGTAACAGGCTGGGTTGGTCAGTAATATTTTTATTTTATTTTATTTTTTGGGTATGAACATGGGACTTGTATTTGAAAAATCTGGGCTTCTCTTAGAAGTCTGTACCCTATAATTTCTAACTTATTCCAATTGACTTTGCATCTTTCTGGGAAATTATTGATGTGCCCAGGGCCTGAAAATTGGGTTTCACTTTTGAGTAAAAGCTTTGTGTGCTTGGTCTTTGATGGGCCTTCAACACCGTTGTCAGTCTAATTGGTTTTTTTTTTTTTTTTCTGACTATTTTGGCCTTAGATTTTAAGCTTCTGTTGTGAACCCTTTTTCCTGGTGCTTGTCATGTTTCTGTCCATGACCAGATACCTTGTCTTCAATTCTGGTAGGAGGCTTCATCTCTTCATGCTATCCTAATTAACAGAGGATTCCCTGGCTGTTTTGGTGGCCACTTTAACGTCTACTGAAACTGGAATAAAGCCTGATGCATTTTCCCAGAGCATTCAGATTTCTCAAGCATTCTCTTTTGCATTTGTTATCTTGAAATAGCTTGAATCTATGCTCCAATTTGACCTTCTTGATAAAGCACTTTGGATGTACAATGAACCTGGCTCGCTCCCATTCACTTGCTGTCAGCAATTTGGCTCCAGCCAGGTACAGCACATCAGAATGTCTCCCCTATCATGAAAAATGGTTCTATTTGATGCAAAGTATGGCTTTATTCCGTCTCCAATATGTTATACAATCAAAACATCTTACATTGCTCTCATTACCATCTTGACCCCATTGTAATGACAGCAACTTCCCCTAGTTTCTCATGCTGTTTTCTTGCTGAACATGTCAGTATAAATACTATTATGCTTCAAATCAGCCACATTTCTGCAACCTTGAGGCTGAACCATGAGGGACAATGATCTTTTTCCTCCATCATGAAAAACATTGATGAATGAACCCCATTCATGACTATATCTTTCTATAACAATAGTTGATAACAAGAGCCTGTGCATATTGTGAAGGAAGTTCCTTTGTTATTATCTTGAACAGCATTGACAAGTTTCTTCACCAACCAATCAACACTCCCAAGTCTAAGTTACTCTTTTTAATCTTAAGGATAAGTCCTCTAAAATGTTCCTCCAATTCTAATAAAAAGGTATTTTGTTCAATATTACAATATTTGGCTAAGTTTTTGAACCCCAATAGAGGAAGCTAGTCCTCCCTCTGCTTCTAGATATTTCTCATTNTCGTGAATTTTTTGTTTGTTTTGATCTTCTCTTGCTGCAGACTATATATATCAAGACCTTTGGATGCTCACATTACCAGGTACTCCTTTGTTTCATTACATTTTTGTAATATGGGAGAATAATTCAAGATGGGAAAGCATGAGATTTCTAATTGTGTTGGTAAAAGTTGTTTCTTGAACTGTATGTATGTTACATGCAGTGATAGAGAAATCCTAAAGATTTTGGGAGAATCTAAATATGGGTTGAAATTACATGTTTCTAATTGTTTTTTATACTTGTTAGATGCATGTGTTTCTGTTTTTTACACACTGTGTATGAATCCCAGTGAATTAAGTCTTGTTGACAAGGTTGTTTCCCTTTAGAAAAGTGGTTTTAGCAAAAAATAGCCATTTAGAGGTCTTGGTTGAAACAGTGTCACTTTTGGTAGCGTCTTGCAAAGATATATTATGTTTGATCGGAGTAATGATAATGCCTCTTTTCAACACTTTTTATGGGGTTTCTTCATGAAAATCCATTTCACAAGTGAGCTCCTTCTCACTCTGTTTAGCATGAGAGAGGTGACGTTGACCACCATCTCGTTTACATAATGGAGCTAAATAACATTCAAAATGGTGCTTGACAACATTGTCTTGTGCACGGAATAAGACAGTGCTTGACATCACTGTCTCGTGTGCTAATAGCAGCGCTATTGTTTAATGAAAGACTCCCCTGAAATGGTTGAAGAGAGGTACATTTTTTTTTTTTTCTTTTTTTTGTGTCCCGGTCACTAATTATAGATGGTATCACAAGAATAATTGGAATATGCTAATTTTCAAAAAATCTTCCTCCAATGTGGCCATTTTTGCTAAATGGTTAGGAAAAACAGCTGTAGAGTTAAAATCTGAGGTTTTTGAAGGATTTAACTTAGCTTGATATTGCTAATGTTGCCTAGGGATTTAGTGCACTCCCAAGTCTAAGTTACTCTTTTTAATCTTAAGGATAAGTCCTCTAAAATGTTCCTCCAATTCTAATAAAAAGGTATTGTTCAATATTACAATATTTGGCTAAGTTTTTGAACCCCAATAGAGGAAGCTAGTCCTCCCTCTGCTTCTAGATATTTCTCATTCCTTCCATTCTAACACAAATTGCAAATCTGTAATTCACCAAATACTAGAACATATTATTTTTATGTTTATTTTTTTGCGTATATCTTTTTTTTTATTTTCAAGAAAGAGGGAATCATCTTATAGAGCTTGCATTCATATGAAAATAAATAAATAAAACAAAAATTAATGGTGTGTAATGCATTTTGTCAGGATTCTTTTTGGTGAATATTGCTCGTGGAGGACTTTTAGACTATGAGGCCGTTGTTCATTACCTTACCAATGGCCTTGGGAGGGTTGGGCATGGATGTTGCTTGGACTGAGCCATTTAATCCTGAGGATCCAATTTTGAAGTTTAACAATGTTCTAATCACGCCACATGTTGCAGGAGTTACAGAACATTCTTACAGATCCATGGCTAAGGTATGCAGCATAAATTATCTGCTCGATTCTTTAAGTAATTATTGATGGAATTTCGCTCGGGTTTGGTTTGCTTCTTTAAACCCAGTCAGTTCATAGTATTCCTCGGAAAATTTAGGCTGCATTTACTAACAAGCAGAAAATGGTGAACTTTGAGACTGATACCTATATGTTAGTTCTCCTACTATCCTAAACTTCTGCCACCTAAACCCTTTTTCATTCTTTTGCGGCACAATCCTGTCACCAGGAGGAAGGTTCCATCCGTTGCCAGACCTCATGCATATTGCATTTGAGCCTCAGTCATAATGGCAAGCATCCAGTAGGAGCTTGGATAATATAAAATCTCCACTATAGCAATTTAACCTTCATGCCATCTGAAGGGCATTTTTTTTCTTTTCCTTTCGGAGATAAAATTCCTTAGCCATAAGAGCTTGTCTGCAGTAAAAAATAAATCGGTCTTTGATTTGGCACAATGAAAAATATGATGAAAAGCTAAGGTTAATTAATGTTATATTATGATATTTCTTGATGATACATTTTGAACTTAGCTTTACAAAGATCTGGTTACTTAACGCTTCTCCATTATGCTCTCTACATTCTATAGAACTTGGATATAGATTCTTTTCTAGCAGATGACTTATATTTTGCTCTGTTAAAAAAGTTGTTGGGGAGTTGCTCTTCAACTTCATGCTGGAACTTCTTTGACAGGGATAGAGATTGTCAACTGATTCGATTCAGATCGTCCTCAGCCTAAATGATAATACAGAAGGGTATTCTTGGCAATTGAACATTAAAGGTAAATTGATTCTATCCATTTTTGTCAATGCAAACACTATCATTTCAAATCGTGTAATTGTTGCTGTTGAATTGAATATTTGCTTGGATTTTATTCTGAATACTGCGTTGAACTCATAATTTAGCCTAAATAAAATGTCTGAAGCTAGACTATTGGAGGAACATCAATATGTGCAGTTTTCATTAGTTAATATTAATTAACCTATGTAAAGGGGCAGTCCAAATTTTTAGCCTTTTAAATTTGCAGAAGGTCTGAGTTTAAATCAAATATTTCCAAAATAAAAAAATGAAACTAGGTGGAGTTGTTATAAGGTATCAAAATATGGATTCATAATCCCTAATGGTTTATGGCATTTCCCTTCACTTTTACATTTCTTGTAACTAACATTTAGATTAAGTTAGGTTGAAAAATTATTAAATATATTATTATTTAATACTGAATAATTACATCGTGTTTGGTCTCAAGCTGGATTAAATGCATAACGATTATTAAATAAAATATGATTATTAAAAAATTAAATTGTTAAAAGATTGAATTTTTTTAAAATATAATAATAAATCTTTTAAAAATAAAAATTAAAAAAATTAAAAGTGGCCAGTGGGGTTGCTAATTGGCAGCCTCAACACAAATGAAAAGTTTGCTAAGGATCTATCCTACTGTGGTAATTGAGTAATAACCATTTATCATAATCT